CTGTCGCCACTTTCGAGGCCTGCTGGGGGGCCCAGCACAGTGACGCCACGCGCGGATTCAAATTAGACCTCGCCATCCCTGGGGGGCTGCGATCTGTGAAACTGTCGCCACTTTCGAGGCCTGCTGGGGGGCCCAGCACAGTGACGCCACACGCGGACCCAAATTAGACCTCGCCATCCCTGGGGGGCTGCGATCTGTGAAACTGTCGCCACTTTCGAGGTCTGCTGGGGGGCCAGCACAGTGACGCGCTACGCGGATCCACAATAGACCACGCCGCCTGCTGCGGTGAAACACACAGTGACGCCACGCGCGGATCCAAATTTGACCTCGCCATCCCTGGGGGGCTGCGATCTGTGAAACTGTCGCCACTTTCGAGGCCTGCTGGGGGGCCCAGCACAGTGACGCCACGCGCGGACCCAAATTAGACCTCGCCGTCCCTGGGGGGCTGCGATCTGTGAATATGTCGCCACTTTCGAGGTCTGCTGCGGAGCCCAGCACAGTGACGCCACACGCATATTCAAATTAGACCTCGCCAGCCCTGGGGGGGCTGCGATCTATGAAACTGTCGTCACTTTCGAGGCCTGCTGGGGGGCCCAGCACAGTGACGCCACGCGCGGACCCAAATTAGACCTCGCTATCCCTGGGGGGCTGCGACCTGCGAAAGTGTCGCCGCTTTCGAGGGCTGCTGGTGGGTCCAGCGGAGTGAGGCACCGCGCGGATCCGAGCAAGACCTCGCCGGGCCTGGGGGGCTGCGATCTGCGAAACAGTTGCCACTTTCGAGGGCTGCTGGTGGGTCCAGCGGAGTGAGGCACCGCGCGGATCTGAGCGAGACCTCGCCGTGCTTGGGAGGGCTGCGATCTGCGAAACGGTCGCCACTTTCGAGGGTTGCTGGTGGGTCCAGCGGAGTGAGGCACCGCGCGGATCTGAGCAAGACCTCGCCGTGCCTGGGGGGCTGCGATCTGCGAAACTGTCGCCATTTTCGAGGGCTGCTGGTGGGTCCAGCGGAGTGAGGCGCCGCGCGGATCTGAGCAATATTTCGCCGTGTCTGGGGGGAGGGCTGCGATCTGCGAAACGGTCGCCACTTTCGAGGCCTGCTGGGGGGTCCAGCAGAGTGAGGCACCGCGCGGATCCGAGCAAGACCTCGCCGTGCCTGGGGGGCTGCGATCTGCGAAACTGTCGCCACTTTCGAGGGCTGCTGGTGGGTCCAGCGGAGTGAGGCACCGCGCGGATCTGAGCAAGACCTCACCGTGCCTGGGGGGCTGCGATCTGCGAAACTGTCGCCATTTTCGAGGGCTGCTGGTGGGTCCAGCGGAGTGAGGCACCGCGCGGATCTGAGCAAGACCTCGCCGTGCCTGGGGGGCTGCGATCTGCGAAACTGTCGCCACTTTCGAGGGCTGCTGGTGGGTCCAGCGGAGTGAGGCACCGCGCGGATCTGAGCAAGACCTCGCCGTGCCTGGGGGGCTGCGATCTGCGAAACTGTCGCCACTTTCGAGGGCTGCTGGTGGGTCCAGCGGAGTGAGGCACCGCGCGGATCTGAGCAAGACCTCGCCGTGCCTGGGGGGCTGCGATCTGCGAAACGGTCACCACTTTCGAGGGCTGCTGGTGGGTCCAGCGGAGTGAGGCACCGCGCGGATCTGAGCAAGACCTCGCCGCGCCTGGGGGGCTGCGATCTGCGAAACGGTCGCCACTTTCGAGGGCTGCTGGTGGGTCCAGCGGAGAGAGCCACCGCGCGGATCTGAGTAAGACCCCGCCGCGCCTGGGGGGCTGCGATCTGCGAAACTGTCGCCACTTTCGAGGGCTGCTGGTGGGTCCAGCGGAGTGAGGCACCGCGCGGATCTGAGCGAGACCTCGCCGTGCTTGGGGGGCTGCGATCTGCGAAACGGTCGCCACTGTCGAGGGCTGCTGGTGGGTCCAGCGGAGTGAGGCACCGCGCGGATCTGAGCAAGACCTCGCCGTGCTTTGGGGGCTGCGATCTGCGAAACTGTCGCTTCTTTCGAGGGCTGCTGGTGGGTCCAGCGGAGTGAGGCACCGCGCGGATCTGAGCAAGACCTCGCCGTGCCTGGGGGGTTGCGATCTGTGAACCTGTCGCTACTTTCAAAGGCTGGTGGCGGGTCCAGCGGAGTGAAGCACCACGCAGATCTGAGCGGGACCTCGCAATCCTTGAAGAGTTGCGAGCCTCACGAATGCCGCTCGCAGAAATATATGAGCCCATGTCACGTCATCATTTCCCTATAACGTCTCCCAAGCTACTCATGCCCCGCATTGCACAGGGGTTGGGTACGTCGCCAGGGCATGGTTTCCCAACCCTCCTTGGTTGGGCTTCCTTCCCGCCTCCCTCTTGCCTCCTCCTGCCTTGCCTGCGGGGGGCTGCGATCTGTGAAGTTGTCGCCACTTTCGAGGCCTGCTGGGGGGCCCAGCACAGTGACGCCACACGCATATTCAAATTAGACCTCGCCATCCCTGGGGGGGGCTGCGATCTGTGAAACTGTCGCCACTTTCGAGGTCTGCTGGGGGGCCCAGCACAGTGACGCCACACGCAGATTCAAATTAGACCTCGCCAGCCCTGGGGGGGGGCTGCGATCTGTGAAACGGCCGCCACTTTCGAGGCCTGCTGGGGGGCCCAGCACAGTGACGCCACGCGCGGACCCAAATTAGACCTCGCCATCCCTGGGGGGCTGCGATCTGCGAAACTGTCGCCACTTTCGAGGCCTGCTGGGGGGCCCAGCACAGTGACGCCACACGCAGATTCAAATTAGACCTCGCCATCCCTGGGGGGGCTGCGATCTGTGAAACTGTCGCCACTTTCGAGGCCTGCTGGGGGGCCCAGCACAGTGACGCCACACGCAGATTCAAATTAGACCTCGCCATCCCTGGGGGGCTGCGATCTGTGAAACTGTCGCCACTTTCGAGGCCTGCTGGGGGGCCCAGCACAGTGACGCCACACGCAGATTCAAATTAGACCTCGCCATCCCTGGGGGGCTGCGATCTGTGAAACTGTCGCCACTTTCGAGGCCTGCTGGGGGGCCCAGCACAGTGACGCCACACGCAGATTCAAATTAGACCTCGCCATCCCTGGGGGGCTGCGATCCGTGAAACTGTCGCCACTTTCGAGGCCTGCTGGGGGGCCCAGCACAGTGACGCCACACGCAGATTCAAATTAGACCTCGCCATCACTGGGGGGGGCTGCGATCTGTGAAACGGTCGCCACTTTCGAGGCCTGCTGGGGGGCCCAGCACAGTGACGCCACACGCATATTCAAATTAGACCTCGCCATCCCTGGGGGGGCTGTGATCTAGTAGCCAGTGTCCTGCGAGTCTCCCGCATTCCGTCTGCAGACATATGTAGCTCTCGCTCCGTCATCGCCCCCCTTATAAAGTGTCCTAAATTATTTGCGCCCCGCGTTTGCGCAGGGGTTGGGTACGTCGCCAGGGTAATTGCTCCGTTTCCGGGGCACCAGCGGAAAATGTATACGCCAGGATATTGTACACACCAGGATCCGCTGTCTTGTGCAAATTTCAATGCAGTGCCGGAAAAAGCGTCGGTGTATGGAGTTCGGTTCCCTACCTAAGAGAGCGAGAGAGAGAGAGAGAGAAAGAGACAAAGAGAGAGCGAGAGAGAGAGAGAGAGAGAGCATCATCATGTTGCCATGCACAAGTGCGTTGAGTTCCTTCCCGGGGAGGTCGAGCGGGGGCAGCGGCGGCGGCGTGTTGTTGACGCCCGATCGGCTTTGGGCACAGGGCCTCCCGCCTCTCCTCCGCCTCTCCACCCTGCCTCCAGTCGAAACGCGGGAGTTGGATGAGCACGTAACCTGACAAGGGTACCCTTGCATCCTTTCCTCTTCGGCCCTTCCTTGGCCACTTTCGCTGCCCCCCCCCCACAAGGCTCTGGGGCCCTTACCAGACATCTCCATGATCCTGTCGCTCCGTACCCCCTTCGCAGCCTCTCAGCCCCCATCTGGGACGTCAGGTGGTAAAACCCCAGGGGTACCCCCTTTCTCCTCCAGCGGCCGTTCGGGACGGATGGGACCGCCGAATTTCTCTCGGTGAGGCGCAGCTACAGGAGAGCATCCCGAGGCTGAGGAATTGGCGAGGACCAGCGAGAACGCCGGAAAGCCTGGAATCTCGACCTCGTCGTCGCCCCCATTTGTCCGACCCGGACCTTAGCCCCTCGTTCTCACGCAGTGAGCACGTCGAGGGAGACCGAGCCGAAGCTCGGCCGAATAGCCGTCGAAGCTGTCTCTGCCCACTCACCCCTACAGGGGGGTGCGGGGAGGGAGCCCGGGCTCCCTGTGGACCCGCTGACTCGAGCGAGCGAGGAGGGGCCATTTAGGGGGGAGAAGGGCTACGATGCCGAGGAGGAATGACGGTCCCGAGGAGCACGACGACGAAGACGATCACGGCGACGATGCCGAGGAGGAGGGGGAGGAGCACGACGAGAGCGTCACGATGGAGGGGGAGGGCGACGGGGGTGACCAGGATGAGGAGGACGGGGAGGAGGCATAATGAAGGTAAGGGGCACGTGGACGACGACGGCGACGAGGGAACTGGCATGGGGAGGGGGACGACGACGACGAGAACAACGACGGCGAGGGAGATGAGGATGAGGTGGAGGAGGAGGAACACGACGACGAGGTCGACGACGACTACGGCGTCGACGGCGGCGTCGGCGACGACGACCGCAGCTACGACGGCGGCGACTGAGACGGCGAAGATGCCTTAGACGACGGCGAGGACGTCCGCGGTACCAGCGACTGCGACTGCGGCGACGGCGGTGGGCAATGGCGAGCGCCTCGTCGCCGCCGTCGGCCGCCGCCGCCGCGGGTCTCCGTCGCCGTTTTCGGGGGCTTCGCCGTCCGTCGTCGGCGGTCGCCGCAGCCGCCGCCGTCGACCCCGTCGACGTTCGGCGTCGCTCCCCTCCCCCGGCCACGGCCCCGAGCGAGCGCCCCCCTCCCTCTCTCCTCCCCCTCTGCCCACTCGCCCCTCCCGCCCTTCCCCCGCCCAGGCCGGCTGCAACATCATCGCCCACAACCTGCACGCGAACGAGCAGACCGCCCTCGTGGACGCCATGGTGCCCAGGGGCGAAGGCGGCCATTGGGCCCGCCAGTGCGGGGGGCGGGAGCGTTTCAGAGAGGCGGGGATGGTGACGACTTCTGCGACGGGTGTGGACAGCGTGGCCGGCGCCAGGGAATCGTTCCGATGTAATGGCCCCCCTCCTCGTCGTTCCATGCGCCCCCCCTGGTCCCCCCCCTCGTCCGCGCACATGCCTCGGAGCGTGATGCGCTAACCCCCTTCTGCCTGGCCCCCCCGCTCGGCGCACCCCGAGGGGGGGTGAGGGGGGCGGAGCGCCGCAGTGAGGCAGGAGGCGGGGCCACGCTCTGCCTCCTCCCCCCTCCCCGCGACCGGCTGCGATCCTGCGGTCTTGATCCGTGACGCACTGATGAACCACACCGCCGACACCACAACCCCCGACACACCACAAAGCTCTCCTCATTCTCCTCGTCCTCCTCGTCCTCCTTGTCATCCCCTGTGTTCCGTAGCCATTGTGGCTCAAGGTTTCGGACCGAATCCGAGCCTGCACCTGCATACCGAACCACCGCGCCCGGACGCCATCCACCCGCTGCCCCTGCAATGGCGATGCTCGCCGCCGCTGTCGCCGCCGCCCTCGCTCTGCCGGGTGCCGCGATGGGGCCTGGTGGCCAGCATCTCTCTCTCCTGGACCGCGGCCGCGTGCACATCGACCTCGCCAACACCGGAGTGGTCGCAGAGGACGAGGAGGGCAATGACAACGATTTCCGCGAGTATGCGTCGGCATCGAAGAAGCCAAAGCGGAGCAACACGTCTTGGCGCAAGACGTCCTCTCGCCAAGCAAGCGTCGCGGTCATGGACGAGGTTATCCCAGTCCTCGAGCTGGATTTCAAGAGCAAAACGCAGCAGCTGAAGTTTGCCCTGTCTAGTTTCAAGGACAAGCAGAGGGCCATGGACGTGGCGAAGAGGGAGACGACCGTGGCCATGAAGGCACTCCGCCAGGAGGCAGAAAAGCGCCGCCGTTCAGCTGCGGATCGCAGGATGGCCAAGCAGAAGGAGCTGCAGACTTTCAATGAAGCTAAGCGCACCGCCAAGGAGGCAATGGTCAAGAAAGCGCAGGCGCTCATGGCCTCGAAGGGCACGGATGCGAGCGGCATGCTGAGCTCATTGTCGTTGGGCATCATGGTCGACGTATTGATGGCTCTGCCTACGGCCGTGGAGAATCCGATCTTCAGTAAGCGTCTGGTGAGGTCGAAAGAGCAGGCCGTGGCGTCCGTCCAGGACTTCCTCAACATCACGCGCCGCAAGACGTCGAAGTTTGTGCTCGCGAGCAGCAAGGCGTCCGATGTGGAGCTCTCCTTCTTGATGGCACGCTACTTTCACGAGGCATCTTTCCGTGTCAAGGCGATGCAGTCGGATGCGGAGAAGATTGCCAGGGACCTCAACGTTGTGATGCCGCGGGAGCTTCGGCAGAGCTTCCTGCCCATCGTGAGGAGCTTGCGCGCGAACGCGGTCCCACTCCGCGTGAACGCCAGCGATCTCGCGAAGGCGACACTGCCTGAGGCGTGCAGTCAGATCTCCAGCCTCATGGCCAACATCAGCGGCTACAACAACAAGCTCGACTCGATGCACACTGGCCTGCACAACCTCTGGCAGCTCTCCGAGCTGATGCTGCCGCACATGAGCAAGGTCTACCCCATGAAGACAAGCGTCATCGACACCGTCAAAGACTTCATGTCCATGGCGACCACCCAGGTCGCCGGTCTGCAGGAGTCGGCGGACGAGATCGTGACCAACGTCGGCCCGATCGTCATGGAGCGCATGCAGTGCACTTGGTCTGCGGCGCACGCCCGCAGCGGCCTCGGTCTTGTGGCGGCGGCGCTGGCCAGCACCCTCCTCGCGTAGGCGTAGAGCGGCCCGGAACCGCGGCGTCCCACCGAGCGCCAGGACGCAGAGGGGATGGTAGTCCCCTCCTCCCCACCGCTCCCCTCTTCGCAGTATCCCAACCCTCCCTCCTCGAGGCGCCCCGGATTGCGAGGGCGCCCGTCCAGCGGAGGGCAGAGTTGCTTTTCTCGGCTAGGCCGCCCGCGAGGCGCGAGGCGGCGGCAACCACTAGGCGCTATGCGCTGACCGAGCGCCTGTAGGGGCGGCATTTTGACCACGCATTGCTCCTTGTCCTCCTCTGGGTCTCTAGCCGTGGCAGGCGGGGATGCTTTTGATGCGCTGGGCTGATCCTTCTCCGATGCTTCTCCCCCCTCACTTCCGTCGTTTCCTGGTCAACACGGCCTCCTTGCCAGCAGAGTTGTCAAAAGTGGTATCAAAAGTTGGCTGATTGATCAGGAGGCCGCGTAGCGTCCTGGAGTGCTTTGCTCGTTCACTTTAGCCCCCTGAGGGGCGTTGGGGGCTGTTGCGAGATGTCAGCCAGCAGCTCTTCTCCGGGCATGGAGGGGATTGCATCACGGGAGCAGGACGACAGTAGGAGGAAGGAGGAGAGGGGGGTAGGAGGGAGGACAATTAAGAGAGAAGAACGAGGAGAGCTAAGGGTGTAGGAATGACTCGACTTGACTTCCTTCGCGGTCCATGATCCCTGCCTCTCTCTCACGTGCCCCGCGGCGCGTGCTGCAGTATCCAGCTGCCTGCGGCAAGTCCCGCCACCGTGTCAGTCCAGCATTATGAGAGGCGACTCTTCGGGAGGGGTCACGGGAGGCCGTCACTTGTCCCCAAGCTTGGGAGAGCCAGCACGTGACGCATTGTTCCGCGTCGTGTCGGTGGGTCTCTTCCCATTTTCATCGTCGTCCTTCCTTTCGTTCGTACGTGTTTTCTTGGGCTCTTGTTGGGTAATTGTGGGTTCCCTTGGGCTACCTCTGGCAGTTTCACACAATTTTGGAGCTCTCTTGGGTCCTCTTGGGGCTCTCTTCCGCCTGTCGTGGGGCCGTCTTGGGCGCCGCCTTGGGGCCACTTTGAGGCCACTAGGGCCGTCAGGATCTGAAGTCCGAACGTGTGAATCTTCATTGCTTTCACAACGCAGCAAATGAATAAATAAGTCTGGCCACTTCGAACGAGGTGTAAGGAGAGGCTGTATAGCGAACGCTATATCCGACGCTGTCTTGGCTCAAGGCAGCGGTGTCCTATCTGCTAGTTGCACGACCCTGTGCGACTCCACTGGGAGCATAGCATCAGACAGAGGCCACGTATATCTATGATCTGGCTCTCCATCCCATGGCTTGTCTCTTACCTCTCGTCTTGCTTGCTGGCGGTCGCCGGGGACACCATGTATTACTACTGCATCGTTGTGTGGTCTGGCTGCCGTGTCCTCGTCAACGGATCGTTGTGGTACGTGTTCGTCAGCGCCTGGGTCACCCAGCCTTGAGGCCGCTGGCTGCCATTGTTTGTGCGGCCTCCCCCCTGTCTCCTCCTCGTCCCCCTCTGCAGTAGTTTCTTGAGTGCGTTTGTTTTCCAGCCCGGGCGCTCGATACGTCAGCGCGGTTGTCGCCAGGGCCTGTTCTCGGCCTGGTGGGGCCGACCTTGGCCCCTCCCAGTGCCTTCCCGGATTTCTCCCAGCTTCGGCTGGCCGCTGAGTTTAAAACACTTGTCAGGTTTCAGAGTTGTCTCGTTTTCCGTATCTTGAGACTGTTGCGCAGTTCCGTTCCGTATTAGGCCGCGCGACAAGCCCTAGGAGCTCCCCCGGAAAGCGGAGCACAACTCGTCCCCCCCCGCCCCCCTCCCCCCCTTCCCTGGTAGAGCCCTCCCGGCCCCCCCCCAGCAGAGTTGAAGCTCAGGCTGTAGGCTGTAGGCTGTAGCTGAGGCTTTTTTTCAAGCTCACACGCCGGATCGGCGGATATAGAGCTATAGGGCTATAGGTCTGAAGGCTATAGGGCTATAGGGCTATCGTGATATAGGCCTACAGGGCTATGGGGCTATAGGGCTATAGGACCACAGGGCTAGCGGGCTATATGTATATAGGGCTATTGGTTGGGCTGTAGGGCAATAAGGTTATTGGGCTATAGGGCTATTGGGCTATAGGGCTTTAGGACTCCTAGGGCTATAGCTCTATAGGGCTATAGAGCTATAGGGCTAGAGGGCTAGTGGGCTATAGGGCTATATGGCTATTGGGCTATAGGGCTATTGGGCTATTGGGCTGTTGGGCTATAGGGGTATTGGGCTATAAGGCACCCGGGCACCCGGGCACCTGGGTGCGCCGCGGAAATCGGTGGCAAACCTCATTTAACCATATGAATCCGCTAGGACCCCATACAGAGGCAAGCTCTGATTGGGGAGCACATGGTTTCGCTACAAGAATGTCCAAGCAAAGTTTTTGCTTACGCTCTCGCAGACTCAAAAATAACATCGGCATCTCAACATGTTTATCACATGATACCAAGCGTGCCTCTCGCGCGCGCATGTCGAAGTCGCTCGAACGCCCTTGCGCGCGGGCTGTCGCAAGAATCCTTCGCACAACAGTGAACGAACTGCACACGCGCACGTCGTCGCGCGTGCATGCGGAAGTCCTTCAAAAACCGTCTGTTTCGTAGGGGGGTCGGAATCGAGTGTCCATAAAGCACAAATAGGTTGGCAACATCAGTTTTCAAAAATGCTTGCGCTCGCTCTCCTGCGAATTCTTTAGAAAACCATCGGTGTTTCAACCATGTCATTGAATTCTGCCAAAACGGACATCTCGCGCCGCATGCCGAAATCATTCGAACGCCCTTGCGCGCTCGCTGGAGGGGCATGATCTGTGTCAAATGATACTATGCGGGCCACTCTCGCGCGCCGGCCGCGCGCGCATGCCGAACTCTTTCCATAACCTTCATCACCGACGCGAGGGCGCCGTCATCGTCGTCGGCGTGATCAGCATCGGCGCAGTCACTGGCTTTGCCGTCGTCGTTGTCATCATCGTCACCAACATCGCTAGTACCATCTTCGTGTCTACCGTTGATCGCCGGTCGCGCCAAACAAGCTGGCCGCTTCGCGCGGCGCGCGAAGATGCGCACTAGCGCGGCCGCGGCGATGCGCCAGTCAGCGCCAAGCAGTCATCGCAATCGCCGCCGCATGGGTTTTGCAAACTCAGTTGCGGGTGGGTGGGTGGGATGATTGCGCGAGCAGTGGAGTTGACAATTTCAACTTCGGCATGGTGAATCGCACCACCGAGATTGCTCCACGTAGCTTGCACAACTTTGTCTGAACCGCATTGATTGCACCACAGGGCTTGCAGTCTGAACCGCATCGATTGCACCACAGGGGTTGCACCACATAGATTGCCACACGTAGGGTGCACAACAGTATACAATACACCACATAGATTGCACGCCCGAGTTGCACAACATGGTCTGCTAGAGCACGCTGCTTGGTGTCCAAGCTGGCTAACGTTGGGTCGAGTAAATTCTAAACATTGTCATGTCTGAGCTTTTGACTTTCATCACCTGCCTTGCCTTCCCTCCCCATTCCTCCTCCCTTCCCTCTTCCATTGTCCTCCTCCCCTTCTCTTCCTCCCTCCCCCACTTCCTTCCCTCGCCCTCGCCCTCGCCTGCTCGCTCTTCGGCCCCCCCATCGTCTGCTCTGCCCATTCCCCCCGCCTTCTCCCTTCCCTCTCTCCTCTCCCCCCTCCTCGCCCCCCCCCCCTTCGTAGTCCTACCCCAGCGCCCCTCTGCCAGGTGGACTGCGTGATCGGGGTGGCGAGGATGAACAACGTCAGCTTGTCCACGGAGGCGCGCGCTCCGTTGGGCGGTCCTCCCCCCTTGCCCTTGTCGTCGTCTTCCTCCCAGCATCCATCCATGTTCTTCCCTTCTCTCCCCAAATTCCCTGCTCCTGCGTTCGCTTCGCTTCGTTGCTCCTGTTGCCTTCCGCGCCATCCCCTGACCCTCCCAGACCTACCGTTCGGCCCCCCCCCCGGCACCATTCCCAATCCTCGGTTCTCTTCCTCCCCCGTTCTTCTCGTGCATGGTACGTCTCCGCCTCGTCCCCCATCCCCCCCTCCAACCACCATCCCAGCATATTTTCCTCCCGCGTCCCCTCCAGGCTCTTCAGGGCCCCCCACCCCTCTCCCTCGGCTCCTCTTGTTGTCCTCCTCCCCCTCCATTTCCGATTGCTTGCAGTGTTCCACATTCTGCTCCCGCTGCAGCGTGGGCCTCATTTTCGGATCGGTGCTGTGCTCCCGCCGTTGAGAACGGCGCTCCCGTCCCAGCATGGGCCACTTTTTACGGACCCCACAGGTCTCGCAGGTCTTGGCACGTCTCGCAGGTCTCGCATGCCCCACAGGTACCACAGGTACCACAGGTACCACAGGCCTGACAGGTTCCACAGGTCCCACAGGTCCTGCAGGTCTCGCGCACCCCACAGGTCCCACAGTTCAAACAGGTCCCGCAGGTCCTACAGGTCCCACCCAGAGGCGTCGCATGTCTCGCAGGTCCCACAGAGGTCTCCCAGGTCCAACAGGTCCCACAGGTGCCGCCGGTGCCACGGGTCTCGCAGGTCTCGCAGATCTCTGAGGTTCCACAGTTCCCACAGGTCCCACAGGTCCAACAGGTCCCACAGGTCCCACAGGTGTCGCAGGTCTCACAGGCTCCTCAGGCCACAGACGTCCCCGAGGTCGCACAGGTCCCACAAGTTTCTTTTTGTCAGACTGCGCATTGTACAATGGGGTCTTTGTGGAGCTCCAGGTCGGCTATGACACGCGTCCGCGGATAGAGAATAGACCAGCGCGATGGGAAGGGATGGGAGGGATGGATCGGATGTCAGATATGGCGCGAGCGCACCTGGCTTGCTTTCCTCCCCTCCCGATCCCTGGGCACGGAGTGGGCAGGCGCTGCAGACCAACATCACCTATTTCGTGAACCACATCGCGGAGCGATGAGAAGGAGAAGGAGAAGGAGGCTTGACGAGGATGGTGAAGCTTGAGGAGGAGAATGAGGAGGAGGAGGAGGATGAGGAGGAGGAGGGTTGGAGGTCGATGAGGAGAATAAGGGGCTGGTGCTGGAAGTGGGCTGAGAGTTGAAAGGGGAGGCGGGGAAACGGAGGAAAGGGAACGAGGGAAAGAGCAGCATGAGTTGGAGTTGGAAGGTGGGGATTTGGAGAACATGGCATCGGTGAGGATGAGGAGGAGCAGGAATAACAGCCGTAGGAGCTAGATGTGGAGGAGGAGGAGGAGGAGGAGGAGGAGGAGGAGCAGGAGGAGCACTAGGAGGAGCAGGGGGAGGAAGAGGATGAGGAGGAGCAGGAGAAGGAGGAGGAGGAGAGGAGGAAGAGTGCTATGATCGTGGAACGTGTTGTGTTGGCGCGGCGATGATGGTGATAGGCAGGGGCTATGATGACGGGTGCTGATGGTGGTGGTGGTGGTGGTGGGAAGGGCAGGACGGCGACGAAGACAAGGACGACGGCGTCGACGAGGCTTACGACGAAGACGAGGGCGACGTCAACGACGAGGAGCAGGGGGCGCAGGAGGTGGTCAGCGGTCGGGGGGGCCTGGCGGGCAGGAGACCGTCGACGGCGTCGCGAACGAGCTCCATGGGGCCCCCTCGCGCCCCGACACCGCCCCGCCGCCTCCTGCGTGGTTCCTCCCCTCCTCGGGCGGGGTGAGGGCGTGCGAGCGGGCAGACCGCCGAGGTGGGCGCGGGGGGGGGAAAGCTGCAGACTAGGGCTCCACGGACCGCGGCCGCTGCGGCCTTCGAGTGCGTGCGGCAGGTTTGCGCCGCGCTGATGCTGTGGCCGGTAGCGAACCCAGCGCGGGTGTTCAAGGCTGAACGGCGCCAGTGGCCCACGCTCGGCCGACATCGAACGATCTGCGCTAATTATCGGAAAGCCGCGATCGTTCAAGGTTCCTCGGACCACTCGGTGTCACAATCCAGCGGCGACGTCGTCACGACACGAACATACCTCGGCGCTGGCTGCAGCCACAGCGAGGGGGCAGCTTCGCCAAGGACCGCGAATGGGGCCGAGGGGGGAAGCTTCTCCGCTGGCTGCGGCCACCGTTGGTGAGGCTTCGCCCTCAGCTACGTATGGGGCGAGGGCGGAAACTCTGCCTCTGACCGCGGCAGATGCGCGAATCGCAGATTGCCGCCCTTCCTGCAGGAGCCCCTCAGGAAACGACCCCAGCACTGACGCCAGCACAATCGCCAGCGTCTACGCTGGCACCAAAGCCAGCGTCTTCGCCAGCACAAGCACCAGCGTCTACGTATACCAGCACCGACGCCAGCACCGACGACTGCCCCAACGACTGCGCCCTCGCAGGCAACATACCAGCGTCTACATCAGCGCCGACGCCAACACCGATGCCAGCACCAACGTTGGCACCTACCATGGCACCAACGCTAGCGACTACAATGGCACCCGCGCCAGCACCAACGCTTGCGCCTACAATGGCACCAACGCCAGCGCCTACACCAGCACCGACGGCTGCACAAACGCCGGCGCCGATGCCGGTGCCGCGGCCAGCATCAACGCCGGCATCAACGCCTGCGCCTACGTGGGCACTAACGCCATCGCCTGTACCAGCGCCTACTCCAGCACTTACGCCAGCACCTGTGCCTGCGCCTACGCCGGAACCGACGCCAGCGCCTACGCCTGCGCCGACGCCAGCACCGACGCCAGCACGAACGCTTGCGCTGACGCGGGCACCAACGCCATCGCCTTCACCTGCCCCGACGCCAGCACTTACGCCAGCGTTATCGCCAGCACAAGCACCAGCGTCTACACAAGCACCGACGACAGCTCCAACGCTAGCGCGCACGCCAGCACCGGCGCTAGCAGCGACGCCAGCATCAAGTCTGGCGCCGACGCCAGCATCAACGACAGTTCCTGTACAAGGACCGACGCCAGCACTGAAGCCAGCACCAACGCCAGCGTTTGCGCCAGCGCCGACGCCAGTGCCGACGCCGGCGTCATCGTCCGCGCCTACGCTGGCACCAACGCCATTGCCTCCACCCATCGCCGACGCCAGTTCCGTAGCCAGCACCAACGCCAGCGTTCACGCTCGCATCAGTGCCAACGCCTGCGCCAGCACCGACGCCAGCACCACCGTCAGCCCTCCACCAGCTCCGACGCCGGCACTGACTGACGACAGCCCCAATGCCAGCTCCTACACTGGCACGAACGCCAACGCCTTCACCAGCGCCGACATGAGTTGCGTCGCAAACACCTGCGCCCTCGTATCGGCCACGCGGCTGGGACAAGCGGCTTAGAACTCTGCTTCTTTCCTTTCCTGTCCTTTCCCTCCTCCACCTCCGCAATTGGCGCATGGGGTGCCCGATGCATTCAGGGGTTGCGGGTGGGCCGTTGGCCGCCCAGTTTGGTGAGCCGCTTCCGTAGGGGGCCGCTCCTGGCCCGTGCAGTCGCCGTCGCCTGCGTGTCTCCTGGCGGCCATGCCGCAACCACTCAATTTAGTGATGTCCTTTTCGAGTTGTTGGCGTGCGACTCTCGCCCAGTTTCATCGCGCCTAGATCCAGCGTTTCCTTTTTTTTACTGGGTACTCACTTTCATTTCCTAATGTGTATCGTAATTCGGGGGCATGTAGGTGAGCGTGGTGACTCAGGGTGTTTAACATGTCGCCCTGGCTTATTCCACCCAGTCTGATCTCTAGTGGCGTGTCAGGAATGGGGTATTCCGAGCTTGTGTTGCTATGCTGCGTTGCGGTCCTTGTTTGCTGGTGTGTGATGCCCGTTTAGTTGAATGATCGTTCGAATCATGGGGGGATGCACTCGTTGCGGTTTAATTCATCCATCCGTTCACCTTTCGCTCTTCTGTCCTCCAGTTCTTTTCCCCTGTTGTGGTTGGTGCCTTCTGTCTTCTGACATCAGGTTGAATCCTCCTGTGCAGCATCAGCCATCACCCTCTTCGATTGGGGCTGCGGATCTGCATCGCAATCTCTCCTCTCGCTCTGCTCTTGATGCGAACGGCTCGCGCGTGAGATAACACCACGCTGATGGAATTGTTTTCTCGGAAAAAAAAAAGAAGCCCTCAGGAAGCCCGTGGACCTGACAGGTCCACGGGCGCAACAGGTGCTGTTTCGGCTCGAGGGTGCGCGAATCCATGCGCCGTGGCCAAAAATCATGTCGTTGTGTCTGGCAGGGCGCCCGACTCGCACGCGGCCCAGAACGCGACGAAGGCAGATTCAGCAACTCCCTGGAGTTTGCCTTCCGCAGTGACCCGGTCACCATCTACGGCGGTCGCCTGCGCGAGAATTCGCCGGCATCCTTATCGCTGCATACCGACTAGGTGCACGACCCGAGAGTTTGGAAATTGTCTTAACCTTCCCCTGAGATCGACCCTGCCACGCGGCCGCGAATTTGGCCGGGCTCTGGAGACAGACCTGGCGCGCAACCGAGTGGAATCAGCTACGCGTAACAGTGACCTTCCGCCTGAGTGACCTTTGGTGCGGGCCCACTGCCCCCCGATCGCCGAACGCGATGCAGTAGTAGCGCCTTGCGCTCGCGTTCGGCCCCCCCGCGGCCCCCCCCGAAAGGTGCGCGCCAAAGGTCGCGCTTACCCAGGGACACTCTTGCACGACGCCGATGGAAGGCGAGGAAGTTCTGCAGGAATTCATCAACCCCGACCTAGCGCGAGACGGTTGTGACCTGCGCTTCACCCTGGCCATCCTGTTACACAAGCGCGACGGGCAGTTCAAGGCTGAAGCTGTACCAATTGCAACATCTACAGCGGTGATGCGTTTCCTGCATGTCCCGCGTGCCAGTGACCCGACCCCAGAACACAAGCGCGCGTATACCAAGCAACGTTTGCCCAGCACGTGCCCGGGCATTACCGGGGGCAGTGCCGTTGTGCATCTGGACAGGACGAGGATGAATAAAATTTGGTTATGTTCGTGATTGACGCCCAGGAAGAAGACGAGGAGGAGCCCCAGACACCACGCCCACAAGGCGGCCGCGGTATTCCAGGACCCGGAAGGCCCTCAGCGAAGGAGCACATCGATCGTCGTCGCGGACGAGCGCGTCGAGGACACTCGGCACGTTGAGCCGGGGCTGTGGACGCACGAGCATTGAGACGTGCTTTGGTGGTCGAGCGTATATTGCGACCATCTGGCCGATGCGGTTGCAGACAATGTGCAGATCGCGCTGATGGCTGCGACGATCGAAGCAATGCGCCGATCTGTCCGTTCGTGACTCGTGCGTTCGGCAACTCATTATGGAGCGCTGATCGCCGAGCGGGACGAGCCAGGCGAAACTACGCAGCGCGCCTCGGTCTCGAACCAGGCGTTCCTCAACGAGTTAAGCGAGGACAGCGATCACGCACTCCGCGGGCAGCATCATCGCGCAGCCGACCACAGCCTGAGACCAGGGAGCAGGCAAACAGCCCAGCTCAAAGTTGAAATGCCACACCTGCAGGGTCCAGGAGACTGACCCCGCGTGAACCTGTGCGCGCCGACGCGACGGACCGCCTGGCTGCGTCTGAGGCGCTAGCTGCGCGGGGGCGCGAGCTCTCCCAAGGGGCAAGAGAGGGGCGAGTCGCGCCGCCATCTGATTCACCGACGCCGAAGACTCAGGCTAAGGCCAAGGCTAACCGCCCTCCAGGACGACCATTGGTTGCGCCGTCACCCTCGGCCCCCAGCTCCCCACCGAGCTCCGCGCCGCCATCGTCGCGGGGGTCCAGCCACGAGAACGCGCAGAATATCGCGATGCCAGTGACAGCCGATCTTGGCGATGTAGCCGGCGGGGCGGAGATATTCTGCGCTGATCTCGACGGTGGCGCAGTTGACGCAGCAGGCGCGCAAGGCTTTGAACGAGTTCAGCTCAAATCACATAGCGATTGATGCCCAGTCAAGATCTCCGGTAACGATAGTCTTGCGTTTCGCACAAGGCCCGCATCGAGGCGGGCTGCCAACTATTTGTCGTTGCCGTACTTGATGACAAGGGATGTAGATTCTACATATCATGGCTCCGAAATTTACCGAGCGACCCGCGCATCTCGCGACGGATCTCTCCAGGGAAATGGCCGCGATCAGGGGGGCCCGACTGCTTCGGGATCGGGCTCGGGCGCTCGGGAAAGCCCGACCGCCGCGCGCGCTGGCAATGGCGGCCGCGACGATATTCGGGGCGAGATGCCCGCGGGAAATGCACGTCGTCGACGTGGCAAGTTTTCAAGGGAGATGGAAAGCCGACGTGGAAGTCAAAGGGAAGCCGACACAGGGCGACAGCAATCACCGCGGGACCAGGATCGACACATCGTTCTCGAGCATGATCGCAGTTTCGCCATAGGCAAGGCCGACATCACCATGCAGGGGGGCATCGATGCGTTCAGCCTGGGCCCAGGCATTGATAGGGAGAGGTTTTCAAAGTTTGTTTCGCGGTTGCTTCGACGCGCCGTCGCCTATCACCGACCTGGATGGAGACTCTCGCCGAGGCGGCGTTACTCGCTGGCCGCGGGGCTACACGGCTGATCATCAGGCCTGCGTCATCGACCACATTTCAGGAGGCCGCCGAAAGATTCGCATCGAGTTTCGCATCGAGCGAGACGCGGGCGAGAGCGGGGGCTGGAACGACGTCTACCAAGTCCGCGCTACGCATGGCTTCGACGACATGTCTCACGCTGTCCTCGCGAGTGTCTACGAGGGGCCTTAGATCTTGCGGATCTCGACGCTGGCGCATTTCCATCTGTTAAGATACACGGGAATACAGACATAATTTTACGCGGCAT